CTCAAGCATGGGTGGTGTGTGAGTGTAGAAACTCAATCGAAATCACTCAAGCATGGGTGGTGTGTGAGTGTAGAAACTCAATGGGAATTACTCAATCATGGGTGGTGTGTGAGTGTAGAAACTCAATGGGAATCACTCAAGCATGGGTGGTGTGTTGACTAATCTGATTAGATGCCATAACTGCAGTGGCACCGCAGTCACAGACACATTCTTCCGCTTGAAACACGAGGGCATTTGGCAAATCACTTCACCCAGGCCTGTTGGTCGAAAAGGCATGTAACGCAAGTGTACCACCTGTCCACGAGCGTTTGCGCCACCGCAGTATTGGTTTCTAGTTCTGGTTGTCGAATTACACTGTATGAGGTGTGGTTGTTAAGAGCAATGATGTACAGACTAATCTGATCAGATGCCATAACTCCGGTGGAACCGCACTCTTCAGCACATTCTTCAGATTGATATGCCTGTGCATTTGGCAAAATGTGATGCCCTATTGGTCAAAGAGGCATGTAACGTTTGTGTACCACCTGTCCTTGAGCGTCGTGCCACCGCAGTAATGGCTTCTAATTCTGGTTGTCGAATAACACCATAGCTTACAGAATTTGCCAGGAAGAGTTCAAGTGTCTTCAGTCTAAATGACGCAGAAAATCCCGAACACATCCAGTCTCAGGAAATGGTTCAGTGGAAATCAGTGATGCTTAGAGAGTCGGTTGGAACTTGGAATACTGAAAAAACATGTGAAAAATTGTTGACAAATTCTGCTCTCACCATTTTCTGCACATCAGAGACAGTGACTCCCAGTGTCGTGGCGATGGTTGCCGCTGGAAACAATGCCTGCAAACAGCGGTTCATGTATGGAATCAGGTCGAAGGCAGCAATCTGGCAAAACTGAACAAAGAAAGCTCTCTCCTTCTCATTGAATGTACTCTCCTCGGCCCTGAACGTGAGAGAGAAATTTGAAACACAGAAATTGAACTAACAAAACCAATGACCATCACATTAGAATCAACCATCAAACTAAAATGGAAAGTCCAATACACATATGAAATCTTAATATTTTATTTTGAAAAGTTTTGTATTAGCAACAGGAGGCGATGACTGGCTCTTCGATGGCTCCTGAATATTGATGAAACAGAACTCAGGAGAAAAAAATAACATTTACACCTTTTGGTGTTATTTTCCATAGGAGATCTGTGCACAGACAAGAACTGTATTCTTGTAACAAGATTCAGGTTTCGGAGACATGAGTGACAAAATTCTTTTTGAAAATTCTGGACAAGCTTATTTTCAAAACACCAAAAATTTCCCAAAATATTAATGTCTCCGAAATAAAACATGTCGTGGATGTCCCACGCAGAGCTGGGCACATTTAAATGGAGAGGCGGGCCAGTAAAGTCAACACAATCCCTCTCCTGTTTTCTTTGAGGGTGCTGTTTACTGAGCCAAGCCTGCAGGAATTTTTCTGTTGATGTCCTGCAGTCAGTTTGGACTGAATACGCCCATGTACAAGTACCGATGACGTCACACTGTCTTTACTGGTGCACTTTCCTACAGGGCCAGTGACAGCCCACGGTCCACTGAGCACCGTAGCAAAGTACCCACACAAACAAAGCGTGGGGTCATCGGTACAGACGTCTACTAAAACTTCACAGATGTTATGGATTAGATTTTACACATGCTAAGTTTGACAAAGATTGGCCATCGGACAGCTGAAAACTTTGGGAAGGACAAAATTCCCGACCCTCTCCAAGGTACAAGCTCAGCTATCCAGGTTACATCTTAGGATGGCGGGTCGCTAAAGATTACAAATTTCGAAAGCGAACCTGTGATACGCTAACGTTGCTTGAGCCAATGCTTCCAGTGAGCTGTGCAGAGCCGTCGCTACGTCTTGAGCAATGGCCACAGGTGCACATAACCTCAAGTCATTAAAGGCACTCAGCACTGCATTGGTGTATATGGCTAGAGGGGGGTGGTCCATCAACACAGTGGGTGGGGCCAAGCTCTTGTCACCCTGTGTGTTAAAAACAAGCGACCACAAAAGATATCAGAATTCAGCGGACGCTGGTCCGTGTGGTTGTCATGGCAACTGGTGGCCAATTCTATAACATATGGCTTGTAGCAGTGCCAGGAGTTGGTCACGTATCATAAACCCTACCTCCCTAGGGTGTGTGCGAAATCATATTAAAATTGGAGGATTCAGGAATTTTAGGGTTAACATGTCTCCTGGCAAGTTAACAAATTTAGAGTCGATTCAAAACTGGTCAAGTGAAATATAACAAATTTCTTTCTCCTTCCTTTTTCTGCAACACTTGTGGTAACGTGTGACCAACTACAAATCAGCTTTACCTCCAGCCATATATTTCTTGTAAAGAAGTTGCATCGTGCCAATCGTTATCCAAAGATGAAGATTTGTGCTTGTGAAACATCAGTCATGCTGCGTTGGGCATTTCCGTCCAAGAGAGCAGGCAAATTTGTAGGACAGACATCTGCCATGCACTGCATACATACCTGCATTGTTCCTGCAGACAGGGTACCAGTCGATAGTGACGGCGTTGCAATCAGTGTGTAGGAATGCATGGCCTCTTCAAACCTAAGGGAACCGGGACAAATGTAGTTAATATCCATGCAATATAATCAGCCCTGTCACGGGCTTCGGGCTTCAGTATCAGCTAGGGGGAGGGAACAGTCTAAAGAACAAAACGCAACCATATAGTAATATATTTTACTGATGGGAGGCCACCTACTTGTTGGGAGGGGCACGGCCATGATTTTTTTTCCCAAACAGTTTTGGTTTCCTGTCTTGTGATTGGTCAGTTACATTCATATTTAATGCATGGTTCTCGACCTCACAAACCAGACTTATTGTGAGAATGTTCCTTCTCACTTGTTATTTACAAGTTTAAAAAGAGTTGTAAAACGAAACAGAGGATTCGAACCTGAGATGGAGGATTTCAAGTCGGGAGTACTCCCAACCAATCTACACACTGGCTGCCAGCCTCCGGTGAATTTAAAACCTTTATACCTTATTACATAACCACTCCTTAAAGCCTTGGACATAATATATGAATAATGCATAAGCACAGAGGGCGCCTTCTTTTGAAACTGCTGGATCTTGTTTGGGAAGAAAAAATACGCAACCCAGCCATCTGCTTCCCTTCTCCCTCATGACGGGCCTGAACATGATATTCCAACTTTATCTGTTAAGGTACCACCGAATTTCAGAACACGTGCGTAAGGAGACTCTTTAGAGTCTAGAATCTAACTAACATAACAGCTGAGGATTTTTTGAAGAGGGAGTGGGGAGGGAAGATAATAAATCACGGAGTCTGTTTCAAGACCGTGTCAAACGTTGAAATATTTGACTGATTATTGATTATTTGAATAATATTTTCATGCTTCGGCAGTCAGACATAAAATGTAATTAAAATACAAAAAAAAAAAGATTGTCTCTTAATAACTGTATGGTATAAGTCCCACGTCACTTGCTGAAGTCTCTGCTAAATGATGCCTGGGTGCTGCTGGTTCTCCCTCGGAGTGAAAGCGAGTGCCAAGGGTGGGAATTTACAATTTATTTAAAAAACTTTCCCATACTGTTTAAATGTGTAAATGTTCAACCTTTACCACGGTGTCACTGACAACTTTAACCCCTTCTCATCGGGAAGCGGTAAGAGACGTTGTAATTGGGATCCCTCTGCCCGCTTTTCAGCTATTTTTCTCGGCCCATGCTCGAGAGAACACGGTGAAAGAAGGCAGACCCTGGCTCTTGTATATATTGTGATTGGCCTTTGTGTGTTGCCAAGAAATGAAAAGGCCAAATTTGCATCATAATCACCAGCTTCAAAATAATCCCCACTTTGAAAAGAGGCAACGGGAATGTGGAAGCGTGAGTGGAGCCGCATGCCACCAAACAATGAGCCTTTTCAGTGTGTAAATCAAAGCGTGTAGGGTCAATACCTCCAGCACCGTAGTTGTGGGAACATACACTTGACATTTCAGCTATTTTGTGGGGACCAAAAATATTGTGCGGACTCAGAAATGTCCCCACAACTTTGTTCAAATTTCCCTAACGAAAGAACTTGTCCCCTGAATGCGGTGAATACCTACCCACCAAAACACGCCCCGCAACAACCCCACAAAGCCTCCTTGACAGGTAAGGCAAGGCTTGGGCTGACTTACCTTTTGGTGGCTTCATCCAGCGCGAGAGTGAAGCCCCTCAGTGCAGCCTGCTGGAACAGTGGCGCCAGCAGGCCACGGAAATCGGCCCCCACCCGGCTGAAGGACAGACCAAAGTACATGCACTGACCCAGGAGGGAGTCCAGACGCCCACCCACACCCCTGGTCAGATCTGCCTCCAGGGTGCGCAGGAACTGGGACACCTGGTTTTCAAGCAGAAATAGAAGTGTGCAAAAAAATGACACTTTCAGGAATTTGTGGGATGTTAGACTGCATTTTTATCCCAATACATTTTGGTGGTATACCTGGCATTCTCACCATACGGTGGGACCAAGGGTCTGGATGTCTCACTCAGAGAGGCAGACAATTTGTATATTTCTTAATAATTCTATTATCAATGAGGGTCCATGACATGCGTGCAAATTCACTGATTAAGTACGCAAGTTGACTTTCACTTGCCCTCCAGATTGACAGGTAGTTTTTGAGAAAAAAAGAGAACTTCATTTCCCGCCCCCTGACCAAAGACCCAGAAACACCATCGGACTGCATGTACTTCTTGGCTGATATTTTTTTTTTGTGGTCAAAGAAGCTTGCTACCTTCTGACCGACCCATCCGTGAAACAGGGCGCCCTCATTGGTGGCCGAATCCTGGCTGGAGGAGAGGATGGGGTCGTCGTCCGAGAAGATGGCCCGATACTGGGTGATGATGTCGAAGAGATGCACTCGGCTGGCTTCGATCACCTTGGTGATGTGGAAGTAAGCTGATGAAAGAACAGAAGATGCTGAGTAATCAATATCTGATCAAATCTTTGAAATCACAGGGTGTGACAAGGTTTACACCTTTCCCAGTGATGGGAGAATAGAAGATGCTGGTTAATTGAAACCAGATCCAAATCTCTGAAACCGGAAGTGCAATCAAGTTCTGGGCCCTTTCCAGTGATGAGGGGAATTATAAACAACGCTTCTGATCCTTCAAAATCCATCAGGCAATTTGAAGGATTTTGTTGGATTGAGGAAGGAGTGACCCTAGGGCAAGACTATCTAGTAGGCACAAGGGTCTGATAACGAGCATCAAAGTCCCAAAAGACCAGACGGTTTCTCCAAAATTGGCCACCATAGCTACAAGCCAGAGTACGAAGTGTTTCAGAAGGGTAAGCTTTACAAGTAAATTTTGTGTATGCACGCAAGTGCAGCTACATCAGCTCTCAATGTAATGCTAGCATTCCATCAGAACATTCTCACGTCGGAGAGAACAGTCCACTTTGGGCGTAAACTATGCTGGGGTATCGTTCCGTGGGAATGCTGTGTTCCCAGTGGAATGGTCGTCTGTTCTGGAATTAGAATACAGCATTCAGCATGGCAAGTTCCAACCATGCAAAATTATGAGACACTCCCAAACGTACATATACCGATAGTTATGCACCACACAGGTTGTTATTTGTGTGTTAATTTACAAATATCGCATGGCACACTGCCATCCGTAACTGCTTGTTTGTATATATTTTAGGGTTGAAAATTTGCATTTCAGTCCTCACCGTCTTCTTTGGCGATGGCCGACAGGATGCTCTGGAACCAGGCGTCCCTCGCCTGCAGGAATTTGATGCGAAGCTCGCTCTCGGTGAAGAGGTCCATACGGCGCAGGTAGCCGATCAGCCGCAGGCAGGCCGGCAGCTGGATGTTAGTACGCAGCTGCTGCAACATCTGGTTCAGCATGAGCTGGGTGGACCCCTTCACCTCCTTCACGATGTCCTGGGAGAGCAGAGAGATACTTGAGGTGTGGCTGCACCGCTCAAAAGACCAGGCAAAGCCTGGGCCTTTGGGCCTGTCCTCCCCATTTGGTAAGCCCTGAACTAGCTCGCAATAGAGGCGTTTCCCAATCAATGATGCAAGGCCTGAGGGTAGCCTAGCTAGATATTGAAAGCATTTATGCAGGCATTCACTTTAAAAGGCTCAACCTGGATAGAGTGTAACAATCACACGTTCTTTACCAAATCCAGCAACTACGCGCATGCCAAAATATCAAGAATCAAGCTCGGGAACCAGACAGTGTGATACGAACATCTGGGCTTTTCATTATTTGAAGGAGTTCGTTTTATACAATGCACCATGGAATTTTGGCCCATAACTGTCCAACATGGATGCATTTCAGAATTTCAAAGGCCCATTCTGGTACAGAAACAACTCACAATCCTGTGGAAATTTTACTTATTACATCATTCAGTTATTGGCTCGAAAAAAATGCAACGATGATCCGTCGAAAACCCCAAAAAAAGGAATTGACAGACTCGCATTCTTTAACGTACAGTGGCTCACCGTTGTTATTGTGTCATGTATATCACCCCCGCGTGACACATTTTTGGAGGGCATGATACGCGCTCTGTTCGGTGAGGGCGATGAAACGCAATCATTACACTTTTGTCTTTGCGCATCACACATGTAGATAATTCACCAACATTTTACACACTATTAGCTCAGTGTCCCTTATGCCTCAGCTTGTGGTCACTGCTAGTTGGGGCATTCCATGAGCTTAGGGCACAATTTGTGACGGTGTCCTTGTTATATCCAAAACTCTTACCACCTGTCATGACCTGTAGAGTAGGTCATTTACTCAAATAACACACACCTCTGTATTCAGCTTTGCAGGATGTATAACAATGTCAATGTGGAATCCACATGCAGGGAAATAGCTGTTCATTTTTACGGAACCCATGTAACAATTGACACGGTCACAAATTGTGCCCCAACCTCATGGAATGACCCAGTGTAGAAGGTTGAGATCTAGAGTCCTTAATCTACGATATTCAAGGATGTAAAGTTAGCAGATCCTTCCCACATACACATGATAGGGATGTATAAAGTCAGACAATCCTGGACAAAATCGTGGGGACACCTGTCAATAGCCATACCCTTTCCAGGTCTCCAACTGGCTGCGGCTAAAGGTAACAAACACCCCTATGGAGAGCAGCTTCAGTCGCAAGCCACCATCTACCACGGGCCCATGCATAACACTGCTAGCCACAGCCACAACTTGCTGGCTTTCCCCCCAAACCCTGACACTGTTACCTGTATAACAGGAATGGTTGTGTGTTTCTTTTCGAGTCGTTTGACGTAGCCGGATAGCTCCAGTGCTTCCTCATAGTAGCTGTTACGCACGCAGGTGTCCATCAGCTGAGGGATTTCAAGGATCTCCAGGAGCTGAGTGTGCTTAGATAACGTCAGGTTGTTCATCCGCCGACTTCACAGACAGGTACATGAAAATAAAAAATAATGTGGCTCATGTATTTCTTTAGTTTCTCAGACTGTTGCTTGTGTAGAGCAACATATGGCCAATAAGCCAGGGACACATTTGGGCGACAACCAAATGATGTCATCCAAATGATGGATGGTTTGGACCATCCAAGTCTGTTCAAGTCAGCTATGTGGAATCACGCCCTGGGGCATGGCCACATCGCTGATTATCGATAGTTGATTTAATGCATCAGTATGGAATGAGAGACCAAATCGAGTTCTCTGGTGTATGGAGTGGGAGACCAAATCGAGTTCTCTGGTGTATGGAGTGAGAGACCAAATTGAGTTCTCTGGTGTATGGAGTGGGAGACCAAATCGAGTTCTCTGGTGTATGGAGTGAGAGACCAAATCGAGTTCTCTGGTGTATGGAATGAGAGACCAAATCGAGTTCTCTGGTGTATGGAATGGGAGACCAAATCGAGTTCTCTGGTGTATGGAATGGGAGACCAAATCGAGTTCTCTGGTGTATGGAGTGGGAGACCAAATCGAGTTCTCTGGTGTATGGAGTGGGAGACCAAATCGAGTTCTCTGGTGTATGGAGTGGGAGACCAAATCGAGTTCCCTAGTTTGGTGCATCACCCATTTTGGCATTTTGGAACTGTAACTGTGACCCATTCTGTGAAAAGTGAACAGAGCCACGTTTGAGTTGTAAGCCATTAAAAAAATCTTGTACCAAGGACACCAACGGGAAGCCTGAACATTTTCCATCCACACTAAGTCCATTTTCAGCGGATACCACAATGGGTGACACATTGAAAGAAAGTACTAGGCATGCTCTTTCCAAAGCAAACAAAAACAAAGTTGGTGAGAAAAATGGCCTTAATTTCACAGAGCGGGCCACAAATGGGTGAAAAATTCAAGGTTTAAGTCAGAGCCACTACTGATGAAAGTTTTGACAACTTTCATACTCCGAGAGTGTACATGTACTTCACCCTTATATTATGGGTTCCTGTCATGACAGCCTATTTGAGTATCTTAAGTTAAGGGTTCTCTGAGACCTTCATCATGGGGCAGCTATTTTGTTTTTCACCATTCGACGCAATATAACCTAATCAAAGCTATTTCAATGATGGATTTGAGCCGGGGAGATGAAATTAATTTTGGATTTTTGCCCTGCCCGACGTGTATTTAACACTGTATACTCATACTTATGAAAAAACTACAAGCGTACTCGGGTGGGACTCAAACCCACGTTTTAACCACTCAACCACCGATATGGATCAAGGCTGGAAGGAAAAATAGCCTGTCCCCTTTTAGCAATAGGTGAAGTTGCATTACAGTGGGTCTACAGGGAACAACACAAACATGCCAGCATGATGACAAAGATCCATTGCATGAAGTAATCTGGACCGTTTTCCAATACTCAACTTCGGCTCCGTCTCAGGCTTCACCTGTCTTTTAACTAGCTGACTTTGAAGCTGTAAGCATAGTAATTAGTCTAATAGTGCCACAAAACATCAAATATGATGCAACAAAGTCAGAAATTACAGTAAGCCAATTTAATTTAAACGCTTCAGGCCCACAGTCGGGGATTGGTTTTGGGAACGAAGCCTGAGACGGAGCCCAAGTCGAGTATTGGAAAAGGGCCTGGACTCTATTACAAGCCTTTCACTCAAAAGTTGCCCTGCCAACCAATCACTTAGTTTGTCAAGTTGGGGCACATGTACATGTCTATTTGTCTGTGGCAGTTTCTCTGCTTATTTGGTGCTTTGGACACATATTTGCTGAGCAAGGTTTTCTGTGCAGCCGGTCTTTGAGGCTGAATGGTGGAGTTGGTGATTGCCAGCCACCACAGTAGTTTCTATGCTGTAACAGTGCCGAGCATTTTCTCAGGATGGATAACGCATCGCCAAACAGCATCTGGCAATCTACCAGTACGTCTCCTACTTAGGTGACAGACGTGCATGGTCGCTATTAACGCAAGATAGGCATACCATCCTCAAACAATGAATGTCGTGTTTGCCAATTTGTGAACTCAAAAAAGTTAGAAATTTCGCTTCTTAAAAACTGCAGTGTTTTCAAAGGGAGGCCAGTGAGTCTAGTGCTTTACTGCAATAAGTCACTTGCTATCCAAAGGTAGCATATCTGCCCCAATTTCTGCCAGATTCATGGGCTCTGAATGTCCGCAGTTAACAAAGGAGACTGTTAATGCATGTGGCCAGTTAGGCTTAGGTAATAAAGCCTTTCGCAAGTTACATTTTAATAAAATCTGGTACACCGAGTTCTTTAAATTCACGTGAACATAACAATTTGAATCTTCCACACTAAAAACACTGTTGCTATACCTCGTGATTATGGGCAAGCTCACATCAGAGATGCCTTGCAACAATACACTGTTCTCAATGAATAAGAAGGGCACAAAGGAACCAGTCCATTCCAGAGATTCCAGCAAAAGCTTGCTCCGTATCACGAAGTAGAGCAACAGTGTCTTTAGTCTGGGGAATTCAAATTGTTCCATTTCTGTGCAATCAGATCACACAGTGTACCAGATTTTATTCAAATTTAACTCACAAATAGCTTATTGAGTGATTTGAGTGTGTAGAAGGGCAAGGGGACAATGTCAGCATTTTTGTCAGAAATATTCCTTGAAACCTCCCAAATCCTCCACTAATAAAGAAGCACTTCACACTTCCTTGGTAGTTTGAGTTCCAAAGGGTCTCACGTCCCATGCAATACTGACGAGGCTCCATCCACATTCCACCTCGAAACAATCCAGGGGTCTCAACCAAGACACCTGGCAAAGCTCTCAGCTATCTAGCTGATCTTTGCCCTCTGATTTGACCTTTGACCTACCTGATGCTGATCTCCTGGGCCTCTTTCATGAACTTGTTGCATTCCTCAGAGAAGGGCGGCAGTTTCTCCAGGAGGCTGTTGACGTGGGTTTCCACCAGGTTGAACTGAGAGAATGAACAGGAAGGAGGCTTTCCAGTGGGAATTTTGATTGGTTGCTCTCGATAAGGTTTCCTCTTGTTGCACATTTGCGTTCCTATTTGTTAACAGTGATACTGTACGTTTTTGGCAGTTGATTTTTCTTTTTGTTGAAGAGATTCTAAGTATTTAGTATTTTTTTTTATCTTGTTGCCGGTGGTGGGCTTAGTTGGCAGTTGCCACAACATTTGCTGAATGTTGATAACTAAATTTGAAGAGAATTTTTCATGTTTTTATTTTTTGCCATAATCTGTTGCAGGTTCACGGAAATATTTAATGTTGGGTACTTTTATATTTACTAGAGTGGACGGAGGGTTTTGATCTTCCCTTCCAATTTTTGAGACTGAAGTTTGAATTTGTCAGGAGTTGGAACACGAACTCTTTGCAGGTTGATGTGTTGATTTGCAGACAGCTGACATAACTTGTCAGATGTCAACATTTTCATGTGCTGCATCTTACATCCTCCACAATTTCCTTGCAACAGTCAGCCGTCTCGATGAACGTCTTGTAGTTGTGGAAGGCCAGCTCCTGAGTCTGCTGTAGGATCTGAGCTCTCTCCTCCGCCAGACGCTCCGGTTCCCGATCTTCAACAAGGAAAAGCATAATCTGGTGAAGCCTCTTTACTTGCGTCAATCATACTAAGGGCCACGGAACAGAGAGCCCCAAATTCGTTTTTGCTCCAATGGGCCGTATTTTTTAATTCACCAGTCAGCATTCACATGCATTATCCTACAGTTAATTGGTCAATCTTCATTGTTTATACAAAGCACCAACAGCCCTACGTACTGATGACATCAGATTTCATTTACGCGTGCACTTCCCCCTACATATATGGGCCAGTAAATCAGCTCATCTTTATGAGGACTGTCTACTTGGGGACCCCCAGTTTTTTTCTGTCATTTTAATCTTGCAAAACTGGTAAGTCTCCCCAAAGAACAAAGGCAACACTCTCTTTATTGCACTGACCCTATTTTTTGGACATTTCAAATTGTAAAATGTGAGAAAATATGACTTTCTTACTGATAAACTAGCCATGCAAATTTGAATCCACCATGTGTAGTGTTCATAGTTTCCCCTCAAACTTTTCCTCAAAACTCAAAACCCTGTCCTTTTGTACCCAAGAAGCATTGATAATGCTGGAACCCGCAGAATAAAGCGCAGTTTGTAAATGCATTCCAACAGCATGAAATCCAAGACAAGCCACAAAACACTTGTACCCGCAACTCCCTTGCAGTTGTTTACAGCTATCTGCACTGTAACACAGCAAAAAGCCTTCCCTAAGTTGTACCCTTTTGGCACTTACTGAGTTTATCCACTCCATATGAACTGAGTTCTGCTAGGTAAAGAGCAAAATCTGGGTTCTCTCTCCAAGAATCTGTTGGGAAGAACAATAAACAGAAAGTTGTAATACAATTTAAAATTGTAAAGCATCGCTATTATACATGTACATGTAGTTGGGTCATTCCATGAGGTTGGGGCACAATTTGTGACGGTGTCCTTATTACATCTAAAACTTTTACTACTTGTCATGACTTGTAGAGTAGGTCATTTACTCTGTAAAAATAACACACACCTCTGTACTAAGCCTCGCAAGATGTATAAAAACGTCAATTTGGAATCCACACACAGGGAAAAAGCTGTTCATTTTTACGGAACCCATGTGAGCATTTGACATCATCACAAATTGTGCCCCAACCTCATGGAATGACCCGGTTACATGTACCCGTATGTACAGCACATTTCAGATGGAAATCAGATCTATGAAATTTCGGACTTTATTTCCCTTTAAAAAAATACTCCAAACCAAACTAAACTTAATTAAATTTCAGATTTTTATTAGGCCCTACTTTAAAAAAATACTTAGTGCTAGGAAAATGAAATTAATCAAAAAAATAAAAATTTCTCCATTAGGGTTTGAACCTGAAACCTCGCACTCATGCAGGCATTCGGTTTATCCTATTGAGCTACTGCATTGCTCGATTGAGGGAGGTATTTTCTAAATTATATAGGGGGCCTACATTTGGAAACACACCCCGGCAAAATAGCTTTGAAAAACTTTTGCCGTCGCTGGCAAAATATAGGCCTACACTCCCAAATCTATTGACCAACAATCAACATGCAATTTCGGAATTTATTTATTATTTCCCTTTAAAAATCGAACCCCGAAGCACACAGACTCGAAATCAGCCTAATTTTGTATTATGGATCTTTGTAATACCAGTTACAGTTTTTCAAAAAGATGTCGTCTAACCTGGAAAAGCATCTTTGAAAACTGATGCCAGAATAGTTTCATCTTCCACGTCAATGGGAGTCGCCATCTTACTAAGAGCGCCCTCTGTGGTTAAACTCCGTCCAAGTTCCAACCTGTCAACAATCGCGCGCGTAATATAGCCGATTTCGCTCGTCGAGTGAAGGATAGGCCTAATCAAGAACCGTATAAAGTGCCCTCAGAAGTCCCCCTTTGAAGACGGCTTATCGGGATTCCAGGAATTTTCAAGCTTCAAAGGTAGTAAATAGGACATGACGTGAAGGAAAACTTTCTTTGAACCCCCATTAAAAAATATACATAGCCACGCCCTGTTTTTTTTGTTTTTTTTATTGTAGATAGTTTTTCCCCTTTGTTCTGTGACCCTCCCACTGGGTTTCAAGCTATTATAAGGACTTCTTTGGGTTGTGGTTCATAGGGTTATTGTTTTCTCGAGTAAACCACCTGTTACAATTTGTTCTCATTCGTAAAATGTAATAAACCCATTCCTTATGACTCCATTTTTCGCACACAGCATGTAAAAAGGTCTAGGAGTTAGCCTCACCCCTCGGAAAGGCTATAAAAATGTTATAAAAATGAAATGCCCAATTTTTTGTCCCCTGGGGGGTGGGGGAATTGACTTCCTAAAGTATGGTTCCGGACCCTCCTTTGATTATTTGCTGCGGATTAATAACAACCCAGAAAATCTCAGTGTTGAGGAGTTTATAACAGTTCCCTCAAAATACTTCATTGGCAGAGTTAGGGCAATAACGTTCATAAATCAACGTTCTACATGCCCTCTTGAAAGTAATTGTAAATTGAGAGAAAATTAATTTTTTTTAGTAGCTAATGATTCCATATTCTGGAGATTACACTGTCATTTTTTTTATGCTGAGCGAAACATTATTGATGATAGAGGGCGCCAGTCGAAGCTATTGATCTCACCAGATTTGCCAATGAAGAGTCGTCAGCAGTGTAACTTGCGCAGTCAGTCCAAATGTTACACAGACTTTTATCTTTGAAGCTCAGTTTGGGTTCCTCTTGTTGAGTTGGAAAAATTATGAACATTCTCAGCCTTTTGTAAGACAGTGGCTCTGCGGCATAATAATTGTTGTTACATACAAAAATACGGTAAAGTTTTGAATTTTAGGCCAATTGTCATTTGAAAAAGAGATATAAATCTTCGTATCATTGTTTAAAGCGTTAGCACAGCACAAGAAAGGTCATCTCATTGTTCAGTCTATTTAAAAGTTCTCTATGGACTCAACGTTACACACAAACCATATCCGCTCTTCATAAAACTTGTACCTTGTCTCTACTGTTGTTGGATTGCATGGTCTTTGCGGGTGCACCGCGCTCACGCAGCCGGAGCTCTGTTGAAAAACTTGCCACCAGCTTGTATCTTGCTTGTACTGTCTCTCCATTTTGTCAATGAGGGTATATACTTCATCTCAAGGCTGATGGGTACAGATTTGGGGAGATAGGCATGTGATCCGCGTAGTTATGCCACTGCCGCCTCGAAAGGTATCTAGAGAGTCCAGTTGACACACATCTCGCGGGTTGGGCTAATGCATACATGATTATACTGTGGAGTATACCTATCCCCCAGAAATAAAAATTTTCAGACCAAACAATACGGCCTGTTATGTAGAGCAGAAGATCATGTACAGATTGAAAGTAAAACAAAACTATTTAGTTTCTGTTTAGGAGGGAACTTCGGGACTCGCGGCACGTTTTTCAAAGGAAAAAGAATTTCCGAAATACTTGAAGCCGCAACTGACTGTTACAGCATTGCTTCCTCTTTCGCTTTCCACGCATGTAACAGAAACTATGGCTGACGGTGTGGGAACAATCGACAGGATATAATGCAAGGCTCTCCTACGCCGGTCGATCGTGCAGAGCATGTTGATGCAACAGCGTGGAAAGGCTAACAGTGTTGATGCTGGCAGTTCTCAAGTGAGCATACTATACCCTTAGCTTCACCTTAAAACTTACGTATTGTTTGTAGTGGAAATATTGAATTTGCGAGACTGCAGGGTGAACTGCATGGATTAGCGCCCCCCCCCCACGTACTGCATGTCTGTAATACATTTCATGCCTGGCGGAAAATAAATTGTCACATAAATTAATATGTTCTGAAAAAGATAAGGTCAGACTAGTTAAGTACTTGCAGGGCATTTTGGATGGCAACCTGCCTTTGAAATGCATTTTATGCTCCGTGCCTCGCAAACAGCACCGAGGAGTCGAAACAAGTTCAAAACAGATTTATTCTCCACTGAACCAAACTCAACCAAATCACAGCCTCCTGAGCTTCACTGCCGATGTCTCAGACGATGCACCACCGCCAATTCAAGATAACGTTCCTGGTAAAAAAAGAAAAAAAGAAAAAAAAAACAATTAGAAAACTCCTTCAACGAAACTTCCCGAGCATTACATTAACTTGCGTGGGTGGTCGCCCTCGTCGCCCACGTACGTACGAGCGGTCGCTGACGTGGATGGAAGATACGATATAGTCGAGGGACGTTTTGCATAACGGTGCTTTTGTGAAAAGCCAGGGTCATCAGGGGGTTACAAAGTTAAGCATGCAGCCAAAGGAAATCCGTACTTTTGGCTAGGTGTGAAAATTATTTCCTTCGATGGGAAATTATTATTCCCAGATATTAAAGGTAGCCTATTTATTAAAATAACGAAATGAACCAGGTATTCATAGAATGCGTAATGCGGTCAAGCACTCAGAACAGGGACGAACATGACCTTTATTGTTAGGGTTGTCGGTACGTACGGCCGTACTCTATACATGAATTCCCGTACTTCCTGTTGCTACCGTAGAATTTTTGACTTGCATCAGGTGCGTTAGTATTCACAAGATGTAGCTCCGAGTAGTACCATTATGCGGTATTTCAACTCCTGTTTTATCATTTTACGTAATCACAATGCAGCTGTTATTTTTGCCTACATTGGGCACTACCTGCAAAGGGATACCACTTTCACTGTGGAATTTGAGAGGGTGATAATCTTCATAAACATGCGGTTATCACCTGTGCATCGTTTTACATTGTAAAACATTTACTGTATAGGCCTACAGTAGCTATAACGTACCTGTAGGCCTACATGATGTGCATGTAGGTTGTGCAACGTTCAATACACATAGACTCTTGTTAAATCTTTCGCGAGAAAATAACCAGCAAATAACAATTGGCTTTTACCTTATGAAACTCCGACAGAAAAATGACCAAAAAAAGGGAACACCGCATCGTTCCACCCTGGCTAAGCTCCAAACTCCCCTTTAATTCCCCCCTTGGATCTAGACACAACACGGTGGGTTGCTAGGTGGCACCCCATACCAAGGCCCCGTTACCAAGGACACAGCCACAAGCCCTGGAATTCCCGGTCCCCGCGTTCCTTTCTCGACCCTCATTTTCCCATCCAGGGGCGCCGATCTAAAGCCGTTCTGGTCCCCAGCTTGCACCCCAAACAATAGATACCTATAGACTACGCCACCGTTGGCCTGTTGCGTGCCCGTACCAGGCACATGCTTTTGCGGAAGTGCAGCTTCCAGTTTTTTTCAGGTTCGGAACAAAGCCCGCTGTAGCCAGGGTTGTCGTTTGCCAAAGTCTGCTGCCGATATCGATTTCCTAGCTGAGCTAAATAATTGTACACGTAAGCACAAGGACTTAAAATCAGCCGCTTTACTGGCTGAACTAGACCTACACAATAAACAGTGAAGGAAACAGCCGCGTGATAGTGTGCGGGATACGGAAACATCAATATTCATGACTTACCGATGCGTCATCGTGTGACCCGGAGGTACACACGCAAGAAATTAATACACGTAGTGGGTGAATGCAGTCTTCCGTAATTTTTGAACGTTTTTGTGTACTTTTTGTGAATCAGATGCAATAATTACAGCTGTATTTTGAATGCTGGTGCTTCCAAGGAGTCGCGGTTCGACAGGATACCCAATTTGTCTCCGTGATTATGTACCAATGCAGCTGGACATTCGGGCAATTCAGTGACCGGCGTAAAGGCCGTTGGATGACGGCATAGCTAAATTTGGACTCCACGGTGCACACACTGTACGCACGCGATTCGTGGTAACAATTACGCTCAGAGTTAAGCGTCGACAGCCGAACTCGGAAAGTAGCGCAGAAAACTAGCCCCCAAAGGACCTGCAATCGGACGATTTTAGCAGAGCTCGTAGCTGCCTGGCAGGTCTGTACGGATCGGTGAATGCTTCCAACTCCTCAGGGCCTGAAATCAAGCTGGGACGCCGACATTTGGAGGGATGTTTTCGGGGGCGACTGTGAGCATGAGAGGTAAGTTTATGGCGGTCATTCTGAGGTCAGGCCGTGGGACGTCGGTCAGAACCCCAACACGTTTCCTACGCACATTGTCTGCGTAACCCACACACCAGGATGACCAGTTTAGCGTTACAAGTCACAACATGCACCGTTTGGAGACATTATTTTTCACGAAAGTGGTTGCAAAACTGAGATACATAATGCCCATATTGGACACTGTATAGCAGACAGGCTGGGTTTTTAGTAACAAAATATACACAGGTCATATTCCACAGCATTGTCTTATCCAGCCTGCCTTCTCACATACGATTCACTGCACAACATGCAGGGTGAAATGGTGATGATGTAACCAATGCTGGACCACAAAACAACAAAATAATTGCACAGGTCCACCTCTGTAAGGGGATACGAAAGACCTGCATGCAGTATCGCATTGTCATGAGTGGAAATTTACTGTGGACATGTTCTTGGAATCTTTGGTTCCGGTGAAAACAGGAAGGTGTGACTGAGGATGTCGCTTTCACTGTGCATGTATGATGTAAACATTCTCAAGTACATATACGTCCTTGGTTTTTGTCTTTATTTTTGGCTGTGGTGTTTCTATGTTGCTCATTGAATGTATTGGCTTGTTTTCACCTACCCCCCCCCGATATAAAAATATGTTTGTGTCCAGAGAGGGACTGACTCTGAAAATTCAAATGAAATTACTAATACTATTTGAATACCGAATGAAAGTTGCTAAAGCCAAAGTCCGTCTACCCGTGGACGAGCAACCCCGGCAGCGGTCAGTCTTGACGGTAGTGGTTTGCACTCCCTGATTCTCAGTTCAGTCCCGCACATTATTGTCAGTCGAGGGCTCTGTGCCATTCCTGCTTAAAGACTGGTGTGAATACATGTATGTAATGCAGTGTGGAAAAAGGAAGGAAATAAAGATGGAATTTGAAATTGAAATAATAATAATGTAAGCGGAATTTCCTGAGATAAAGCTGGGTAAGCTCTATAATTCCTCCTCTCTGATTACTGAAATTATAATTACATAATGCATTTATTTATTTGACCCTTTCACCCTTGACCCCTTTCCCCTGAAAAAAGTGCTCCTTCAATCCGGAATACACTGTTGCCACTGCTTTAGACTAGACTGGTGACCTGGCCTCATAATGGAGGACAGCCGACAGCATTCCCATCTTTGAAGATTTAATCGGTTTGATATTTTCTGTGATAGTTCTTCCATCGCTGTCTGGTTGGAGGCTGAAATCTGAATTATTAGGCGTTGGTTTTAATGTGTGCATAATTTCTTTAATTGGAATGAAGTTTGACCTGCGAAAGAGGTCGTCATTGCCGGAGGCCTCAAATGTGAAGGTGTTGGTCAATTATGTGAAGGTTTTGGCTTTGGTGATAGGTGCAGGGCTATCTGAGTAAAAGCAAGTCTTGCTCCCAAACTTCAGGGGAACTATTTCATGAGAGCAAAGCCATACCATCTTCATTCTCTTTTCACTTGATGAAGTGCAACGTTTTCATGAGCTAGCAAGACCCTCATTGTTTCACCAGCCAGATTTAAGGTCGTAATCAAGTCTTAAGCTATAAGACCTAAACATAACATATTCCACCATACGGTTAAACCAAGTCACTTGAGATTGTAGCCAGAAGACTAGACTGGTACTTGTCCAACTTTATATTGATTTCGTAGTTATTCTAGTGTCTCTTCTGACACAGATTATTGATTCAGTACTAAAGGATATTGGACAGGTTTGCTTCATGCACCAGTCTATTTCTTGCGTTGCATGTTTTGGAGCTCTTAATTAAACACAGTGTTTGGACGCCCCAAAATTTCTAGGCTCAGGCATCTGAAATGTACATGTACATGCACGTTAATTTTAATATTGTACGGATTATGTTCAGCTTAACCCCAGAAGTCTTAAATCTTCCGATTTCAGTGTGATTTTACATACACCCTAGGGGTTAGCAATTACTTTAGAATAAGAAAAGGTTTTAGGGAAGGCGCCCGTTTCATCTCTTTTGAAATAGGCCTATTCTTAACTGAATTACAATACTGCAGATTAGTCAACTCACAACTGTTTCTTGTTTATGCGAATAAATGAACCGACGCTAACTAAATGTGAACGCTGACGTCATGTATGGCATGACAGCTGTGACATTCCACCCACATCAGGGAGAAGATTCGTTTGAATTCTCCTCCAAGTTCGTGAACTGTGAAAAAAATGACAAACTATTAAGAAAATGGAGGGTGGCATGACTATAGTATAGGGTGATTGTTCCGAGAGGTTATCCGCGTGGGTGGGTGGAATGCCCCTCACCTGAATTCCGCAGCAGAAATGCAACTGTAATGGACGTAGCGTGACACTGGAAAAAATGAAATGTTTTTCCTCTTCCGAGAACTTTGAATCGGACCTGCATGCTGTAGCTTGTAGTTCGGATCGTGGGAAAGTTTTGCTGGGACCCGAGCGTTCTCAACTTAAAGGTGCTAACGTCTTTCGATGGCACTGTTATCCCAAACATAGCAAGGAATGTAGCTACGCGCCCCGGAAGCCTGCTCTATTGTGCATGTGGGGATAATCATTTTTGGACCAAACAGTCAAACGTTTGTGCATGTGGAAGCCAGGTACCCATGAATTTGGAAAGTGGGTTGTTGACGCCCATTTTCACCGCTACATCAAAAATTCAACCCGGACTTTAGTAGGTGGTCGGAGCTGCCAATCATCTTGTCACGAATTGACCTCATACACGCCGACGCCCTGACATAAATGCCGTCTGCGTCTGTAGTCTATATGACGAGAATTTTTAATTAATAAGATTTTGCTCAGTTGGATTGGCGGTGATTTATATTTTCCTGATATGGGTTCTTTTTATTTGATTTCAGTTTTTGTGTCTCCTATTTGTTTAGAAGGTGTTTAATTTGGCGTTAGTGTGGTTTTCTTTTATTTCTTCTCGCTTACCAACAAAAAAGTGATTAAAACACGCAGTAGGAGTTTACAGTTTGGATCATCCGTTGGGGTTGTTCTTTTGAAGAATACCTACAGGATTGGCTTGTTTAGGGCGCAAAGTCACCTTTAAGCTCCCAGGTTTTTTTAAGTGGGTATTGTTGTTAGCTTTTTTTCGGGGGGGGGGTGTGCCGATCGTTCGTTATTTGCATGGCCGCATTCTAAGAAAGGAATTTCACTTGCTCGATGGGAGCATTTTCTCTTCTCCGGGAGCGCACTGTAACTGTCTAATCCTACAGGAACACACGCAGTTCAGGCATTTAGAGGAAAATTGGCCGAAATTACCGTGCTCGAAATTCGTTGTGAAAGTACATTGTATTTAGTGTGGCCACTGAGAACATTCGTAATATTACTAAAAATTACCGTATAACACCCCAACTGTTTTCCCTCCCCTCCTGTTCCACAGTTTGTCTTGGATGTAGCTTTGTTCTTTTCCCCCAGATTTTAGTGATTCTTACTTGGGCTGTTATTCTTAATTTGGGCTAGTTTGAGCTCGAAACCTTGAGTTGGGTCGTCATTATTTTGGGGGAAAATTCTGCAACTGATGAATGATAACATGTTGAAATTTTTCAATGCCAAAGACAGTTGCTTGCTCGGGGGGGGGGACAGGTAATCTCAGGTAGACATGTCGCGGTACAGGTATTTTGATTGTGATGGTAACTAAGATGTAAATTTGGAAATTATGTCTGTCTGGTTGCGTTTTATTTCGCAATAGTACGATGTGTTGCGTCATGCATCATAAATGTTTTGCGAGCTGCTACCTCGTAACTTGCTTTAACTTCTTCCCGAAACAAAATATTGAAACGCACATTGTGACATAAGCGGAAACCGATATCTGAAAGGGGATGTTAATTAACGTGCCGTTTGTTATCTTCGTTGAACGTGGATTCTTTCAATTCATCTTGGTCGTGCCTTTTCAATGTTTCACTTCGCCTCCAGCAATAAAAATCTGTCCATCGTACTATTTTTGGGTGGAGTGTCTGTTGACAGAACCGAACTTTACACCCTAGTCTATTTACCAATCGGTGTGCGCGCGCCAACATGACCCCCATGAACTCAAACATGTCCGGACGGGTTTCCGCGCGGCTGCCGATGCAACAAACTATACGAAATTGCCATTGTCCAGACTGCTCCAGAAAAACATTTGTTCGGAGCATTTCAAAATAAGCATTATGCATACGTGAATTGCACAACGTGGAAATGTACAATTGATGGTATTCCCCTCGAGTGCGTGGTCACATGCGTCACCTTAGCGTGCAGCACAGACTGGTTATGTTTGTTTTTCGTATTTTCGTATTTCCCCGTTCCTCTCCCATGGTCTTTTTCTTCTGAGAGAGGCAAACTTCCCATTTTACTGAAAGTAAACAGCTCTTCGTACACAGCTTACTGGGTGAACAGCAATGAAAACTCAACGTGGAACACGGCTGGTAGGTAGTGGAAGTGTAGCCGACATGTAGTAAGCTAGTTTCTCTACCTGTGCAGTGCAAATCTGTTGACTGCTGAGAGCTTGCTACCTGTATTCTGTAACGTGCACACGTTTCAACAGTGTCCTTCAATACTGTGACTGCGCATTTGGAATGGTAATGAACATTTTGCTTACACGTGACTCGCGCATCCCCATTAACAGGCTGTTCTCAGTATTGAGGGTTGCAGTGCAGGCCACGCCAGTAAATAAGTCCAAAACTGCCTGCGCGGACCGAATCACGACTTGTAGGCTGCCAAATTCTCTGCTATCAGAGTATTTCATGGCACATGGACTGGGGGTTTCGTTAAAAAGGTGGATGAAATGCAGGGACAGGACAGCCAGCTTGTATTTCTGAAGGTATCGGACTTAACGGGGCCCTCCAAATTGCTCTATTTTGCAATGGAGTGTATAGGCATCCATTTTCAAAATGGCGGTGGGCCCCATGACTGTTTTGAGGGGTGATTTTCTCTGGAAAGAAATATCTTCGAAAGACATCAGTTTAAACCACTGAAAACTGAAAGATGAGGAAGTGAGCTTTAATTTGATGTGTGTCCTGAACACCTGTGAAACTTGGAAGTATTTTTCCTGTTTTTTAAGTGGGGATATTATCACTGTTGTCTATGGCAGGTTATTTACTTGTCTGTACCCTGTAGGGGTACGATTTTTAACTCGTGACGCCGACGTGGCAGCTTTCCTCACCTTGGCCTCCGAACCCGTTTGTCTGCTTTCCCTTGAGCGACTTGTTACAGGAACTCAAGCTGGAGTGCTTCCCGCTCGCGAATTACGTCCACTTACAGCGTAAACAATCTCGATAATGTCAACTATTATTAGGCAGCGCGTAGTTTGCACGAAGATCGAGGGGGGCGGCGTGCACTCCGCTAAAATTGTTTCCCGAACATGCCTTGAAAACACCTTATTGTGACAAATGCTTGGTAAGATATACCTGCCCAGACGTGTAATTTAAGGTACACTAAATACCATGTCATTCGAAACCTGTTTAATCGAATCTCTCCTGCGTGTTTAAGTTTACAAGCTGTGTTCAGGCTGTTGTCGCTGTGTACTCTTATTCGAACAAAACGTATGTGGGCATAAACAAGCCCATTCCATTAAAACTTGGTTAGTTTGTACAATTCTGTCAGGAGGGATTATCAAAATGTTCAAACTATTCGTTTTTGATAAGAAAAATATTTAAGAACAGGGACAGTGAAAAAAATTATATATTGTAGAGGGCCTGCGTGGAGCGCCCTTCCAGGGGACGTTTTGTTATTAGATTCAGTGACAATGAATGCATGCACAGAAGGTTTACTCGAGCCTGTCCTAGAGGAAGACAGAAATGCCCTTTAACGTGACGTCATACGCAGGCCCTCTGTATATACAGTTTGCGGCGCAGCCAAAAACCTTCGATTAACGACTGCTGATGAATTCAGAGAATCGAGGTGTTTTGTTTCTTAACACGTGGGCAAACGCCTAGAGGATTTCATCTGGCAGAAAATTAACCGTGCTTGTTACATCAGTCAAGTGGAGATCGACTATACAGACCCGACCCACTAAATAGTTCACCGGATGAGATTCGAAGTCGGATCAACGAAACTAATCGTTTCGTCGGCCTGAGCCTTCATCAGTCCCAGCCGAAAACATGCTTTGGCCATTGCACGCTCTGATCTCATTTGGAACTGAAGATGTCTGCCGTAGAGGCCCTGTTTGTTTCACACGGATCCGGATCCTGATCAGGACATGGTCCCAGCGCTGGATTTTCACCCTCCATGAGAGGTGGGCTCTGGTGTCAGTGAACCAAACGGCGGATTACTGATCTATATTCGGATCCATCGCGTGAAACAAACAGACTGTATTAGTTCAACCTCTGTGTCATCGTCCAACTTTGCATATTTTCCATGCCGTCATTAACCCAGCTACCTTCATGCACATTTACACACCAAGTGTAAAGTTTCTGAAACCTCTTTAAAGTGTATTTTTTTACATCTATTTTTGTCCAGTTTCCGGAGAAAACCCTATACTCCTCTCTTTAATGACCAAAATTGAGTTAGGTATGTGAATCATAAAGTTCTTAACAAACATGGGATTTGACTGTGAACAATAATGGAAGATAAGAAAAAACCTCAATTTTAAGACGGCCAAATATCTGACCTTTACCAGGCTATACACTTTCAGAGCCTCCGTGTAACTTCCCAGAAAGTGAGCTGCACGCCTTCAGTGAGTTGCCGAGTGAGTCTCGCGTGGGTATCAGTCGAGGATCAGAAATCCTAAACAAAATCCAGATAATGATGAAGAATGTCAGAAATTTCAACCCGCAGAAAGGAAAAAAGTCATAATTTCACCTTGCATTCCATCCTTGAGGTCCCTGGGGTTATACCTCGCAGCTTTGTGAGCCAGGGATCCCCCATCGCGGATCGGCCGCCGACTCCCGTGTGCGTCCAACCGCGGCCACCTTTACACTCCGGCGCGGGACATTTATATTTATCCATAAAACTCGGCGTGAACCGTTTAGGGGTCGTTAGGGGATGATTTGGAGGCAAAAAAGGGGTTCTGATTATTTTAATTGGCAAAGATTGCTGCGAACACGCAGTTAACTGCGTGCGAACTGCGGTGGCTGCAATATTTCGAAGCTATGGGCTACATTTTTGGAGATTGTTAAAAAGAACGCCAGAGTGTAAACTGATTAAAAAAACCCTTCAGCTCGCTGTGAGCGGGTATTAACGTTGGCGTGCCTTATCTTGGCGGGTATTCTGTTGACTGACCTGGGACACGAATGGTTCGAGATGGCTTCGACATTCCCCTGGAAAAGCCTCGTTAGGGCTACAGCAGTTTCTGCGTCGGAAGCCTTTCTTTTTCCGTGATGAAACTAAAAATCGCAAGTTTCTGTCAGAAGTGAACTTACCTTCAGTCGTAATCATGTATGAACGAAAATCGCGTCGAATGCGTGTATGCGCATTCACATACAATTTTAAGAGTCTAATAAAGTAGCTAAGAGGAGGAATTTAGGTACACTCTACACGTAGTGCGCGTTAAATGTCATATCCACAGCTTGTATATTTAATGTTTCCATGGAGGACAGTGGAGTCACTGTTGTGGAGGGGGAATCACTTCAGCTGCTTAAAACTATTCATAAAACAGTCGCCGGATTTCCCTCAGTGAACAGGTGACTGAGGACGCCAATTATACAATAATTAATTGAGATCAACCATCTGACGTGCCTGCGGCTGTTTGGTTGGGTTGCTCGCTGGTGTTTCCACATTTTAAAAGATGTGGGGAGGGACTGTAGGACTTGCAGTTAATAATGACGATGTTCAGCACACAAAATGGGGGAGTCGGGTTGGCGCAGTGGTTCTTTCCTCGCCTTCCACCTCTGCGGTCCCGGGTTCGCTTCCCGGCTCGGTTCACATGTGAATTGGGTTTTCAGTCCCTACCTGATTCCGTGGCTTTTACCCAGAATATTCCTCTGGGGCTTTCCTCCCACCTCTAAAACTGTAACTGCTTCTCACTGTCTCCTCTCTACAGGTTGCTTCAGGCTTGCGACCTACAGTGCCTGGGGTGCTTTTGAGGGATCCGTCGTGTTATTACCAGAAATGAATAATATGAATAACAACAATAATAATAATAATAATAAATTAATTCTGCTATACGGAAACCCTAGTATGTTATAGCATCAGTTTTCTGTTCGAAATACCGTGCAGTTCGCTTTTATCGCTGAAAGCTAAAATAGAATAATGCGACTTGTAAAGACGCTTCAAGTGAAACATTCCTCGCTGTTTATTCTTAAGTCTTGCATAAAAAAATGATTAATCAACACTGTATGCGATCTTAAAAAGAAACAACTTGCAAACTTGCGGGCCGGAAAAAGTCATCGTCAGAATGTGCTGAACAACTGGTGTCGTGAAACGTTAATGCAATTCAAGCAAACGGTACCGGAGTTGTAATCAAGTCAATCACATGTCAAATCACTAGTAACGGGGGATGAGCGATGGGGAAGAATGGCCTCAAAGTTCATTTAAACAGCTCACTTCTTCACTACAATTCAGACTGCATGTGCATCTCGAGAGGTTGCGTTTCTTGTCTGGTGATGACTAAGTCTTGATTAATCCATGTAATGCCACGTGCAGCCTGGATTAAGACTAGCCTCAGCTTGTCGGTCGTGCGGTACTCGGAGGGCGACAAAATTGGAATTTGTTTCAAGAAACATCTGTCATATCTTTTCCATCTGTTAAGCAACCCTCCTTCAAAAGGTGTCTGTACGTCTCTGAACTGCTGCTTTGTATTCCCTGAAAAATTGAAACATACACCGTGGGGGACTTCCCCTCCACTTGACCCCCCCCCCCCCCCGCCGAGTACGCCAATTGTCATGATTAGCGAAGAGAGACCCTTTACCACGTAACTGCCCCTTTAAGTCACCGCATAGCTTGTGAATGTCAACCCGGGTATGCCCAGGCGGTTAGTGGGTCATGTTCAACTATGTTTTTAATGTTTGGCATAAGACCTTGTTTTCTAGCTAACTTGGCGTTGGCCAACTTGGCTATGAGCCACCTCGGCTATGACAACGTCTTGTCTTGTCGTGGGCGTACGTATCAAGAGGTGAACAAGCCCAAACAAGTGGGCCATTAGAAAAACAATCAATAAGCAACGGAATGTTCACTTTCAACAAACAGAACGCCATTGTTAACGACAGTGGCATAAGATAAATGATTAGTTAAAATACAGAAATCCTTGCTTTATGCGAAAGTCAACTTAGGTCCGGGAACTCAGAGAGGAGCTTACAGATATGTATATCTTTTGTTTTCACAGCCACTGTTGAAATGAAGATCTGGTGAAAGAAATTTGCCTTTTCAGGTAAGTTCTGTAGAAACATGTAGAAGTCGTAAAGAGCGTAGCTTCGCTGAAGCTGTTCATAATTATTATGGAGCCTTTTCTCAATGAAATTTTTTTCTTCGTAAAATGAATAACCAGTTGTCTTTTCTAGTTACAGTCAATACGTATGTAAAAGTCTCTGGTTAATATTTCGCTTTTCTTCGTTGAAGTGACATTGTCTGCCAGATTTTGAGACACTATGGTTTCAAAGTAGCAATTTTGGTATACCACAGTTATGCTTTCTAGGGAGAAAGCGATTTGGGGAAGTTTTTAGGAGTGAAAGGAGGATTTTATACCAAGGAATCAATAGTCCTTGCCATCATATTTCTTCCGGACCCTGTCCAAATTGGGAGATCTGTCACTGTGGCTGTGGCTTTGCCATTGGAATGCTACTGTGCATAGCCCCAGCCACAGACATATGGTCTTGTCAGACGCGCCCCTGTTCACTTTTAGAGAAATCTGGAGCAATTTCTAACATGTTCCAAGAATTCAGAATTGATGTCCGCGTTGCAGGAAGTAGATACGTCTGGGATGCTAGATTGTTTGTTTTGGCCGTCAGTAGATCCTTGCCCCAACACGGGCATTCTGTAATGGACTTGAAAAGAGACCAAGGCTTTGGAGCTCAGCCATTAAGCTCGCCTCTGGCCCCGTTTCTTGTGTCTCCCACGCACAAATCAAGGAGGAAATCCAGATGACAAGCCTGACCGCAGCTGTCGGGTCCTGATTGGACCTGGCATATTTGAATTATGCCTGGCGCGCCATGTCTCTCAATCGCGACCGCTAGTCACATGAAATCAGCGAAGAAATGGTCGCTAGGCAGCTTTCAGGAACTTGGAAATCGTTGTATTGAGTTGCGACTGGCAGAGTTCGTCTCTGTTCTTTACTCAATGGTCTATAAGTCACACAGCTCTGTTTTCTGACATGTAGTGGGGTCTCTTTTGTTGAGCACTTCAGAATGAGTGATAAAGGCGGTAGCAAGATACACGAAAGTGCTTGCATCGCCCAATGTGCATCCATAATAACAGCTTTCCTGTGTGTTTATTTTAGTGGGTTAATTAATTTTAGTCTAGTCGTAGCTTGTAAATTTTGTCGTCAAGTTGCTCCCCCTTTGTCTCTGCGGGGGGTACTTACAAACAGCACTTTCTTCAGCATAGAATTATCAGCTGTGCTGAAAAATCTCAATAATTACAGGAATTGAGAATTTTAAAGCAAGTTTGCTCGATCGACAAATTGTCACCATTTAAACAGTAAGTATCCGTCGTATAAATTGGCTTGTGCATTGTCTTGCTTGAGGTTTCGGTGGGCGATCGCGACCACGACAAGATGTAAACTTTTTAAGAAAAAAGTACAGTCGATCAGATGACGCATGCCACTGAAATTTGGTGTTTTGAATCGAGTCTGTGTATGTGCACGGATCTTGATCTATGAATGTGTCCCCATAATGACGCTCCGATGATCATTCTTCACATAGTTTCGCACAAAGGCAGGCTGCGAACCCCGGCGCGGTCCCACCCTCGGTATTTTAACGCGACCCTGGATGTACTTTTTTGTTTAAGGTCCCTGGTGTTTTTTTTCCTCCACTCTGCTTTCACGCCAACTTCCACTTGCGTGTGGACAAGAGTATTTTATGGGGTTTGCAACGTCATGGTGACTGTCCATGGGCAGTTCAGTGTTTTGGGGTTTGCAAAAAAAGGACTGAAAAAACACATGCACGCAGAGTACTGAAGCACACTCATCTGTCTTCAGCACAATCAGAAAATACCGATACATGACGAGGCAACATTTCAGGTTTATACCTCCCTCAACCCATCCGAGCCCATCGTATCACGGGAATGTAGAGCCGAAAAGTGCCAAGCAAAATTTACGAGGACGGCGAAATGCGGTTTAGAGCGAATTAGTCGTGGGCAGTAAACATGAGACGGAGGTTATGGTAACCAGTGTCCAATTTTTCATTCAGCCGGTAACTTCTTATCCCAGATTTCCGCTTCCTCGGGAAATAGGTCTACTGGCGAGGACATGTCACAAACTAGAAAAAAAACCAACCTACCGGTTCCCAAAAGGTTTTCAAGCAGCCCTTTTATACATATTGGTTAACCAGTGCTTAATTTTTACAGTAGGATCATAACCTTTAAGCCCTCTTTGTTCCAAAACTCAAACTTACAAAGGAGCAGCGTGCCAGTCTCAGTCATCAGGAATAGCCTGCATTTGCTTTCGTAGGGGGCATATTTGGTCATTCATAATTATAGGCATTTTCTCCGCAGGTTAACTTGGGAAATATTTTTTTACCGTCCGACCACTCCTCTGTTTATGTAGGCATAGACCACACAGCGGGCTCCCAGCAGAGACCCAATCGCCCTGAGATTAACGTGTGTGTGGTCATCGTCGGCCAAACGCTTTGAAGGACATCTTTCATTGCGACCTTCTTTGTCTTAGTTGAGCAACGCACTCGCTGAACAGCCTCGGTCTCGATTCTCGAAACGTTTCTGCCTCGGTCAAGTGAAACCTGATTGGTCGGCTGCTGTATTCATTATTGTAAATCCAGTTCTAATTAAAATTGGACAGCCACGCCCCATACTACATGTATAGTATCTTCCGTGGTAATATTTGCACGGGCGTAGTCACTCGACAACGCTTAAGAAAGAGCTGTCTGCATTGGAAAACTTGACGTTAACTAGTTAAGTTTTGTGGGAGAGATTTAGTGACAACATTCTTCCGGCAAGGATAAAACCAACAGTAAATTTTCCAGTACCTAACCGTGGCGACATTGTGTCGTCGATACAAAGGAATGATACTCTTTACACCAGGCCACGATTTCTGTTGGCCTGCGCCTGTCATGGCCGGGAGGAGCGTTGCTAGTTTCAAGGGCGCCTATTTCCCAATTTGTGCCTGACCCCATCTTACCTATACATGATCATTCACAGCTACGGTCCCCGCTCCTCAAACAGACCTGGGTAATAGAGAGTACCTGTAATACCTGAAGGTCGACTCTGCATTGTCTAGCCATTGAAAGTTGGCCTAGACTTCTGCGGTCATTCCCGCCCGCCCCCGCCCCGCAGCGATGACTGGAAGACATTGTTCTTTGTCCATAATTCCGATCACAGTCAGCTGTCGCTGACCTTAAAATGGCGCGCTGGCGCTGGCGTCCATTTGCTTTCGCCGGAGTGGTGCACACGCCATTCCTCGAGAGCGTGGCTTTGGCAGAAGGGAAAGAAGACTCGGAGCAGAGAACGAAACCGTTTGCTCCAAAACTATGGACGATTAAAGACGCCATTTCAAATTCCTGTGTGATGTTTAGACACTGCATCGGTGACTTTAAACGGTAGCCGTGATAAGCTACCTGCAAATGCCTTATTAAAATATGCAACGTTTGCAGTTCAAGAAATATTTAAAAAAAATGCTCCACACGAGAAAATGGAAGGCCGCAGGAGGCTCTGATAAATGAAGACTTCGCTGTAGTTCATATTCTGTGTCTTAGATTACCCGAGAACACCGCAGTCCTACGGTCGGGGGGGGGGCGTTTGGATGAAATGCCGTTACGAGATGACTGTCGTGATTTTGAAGCGTTGAAAGAAACGTGACGTACTAAGTAGGGTACTAATCGCTAACCAGCGTCCAAAGTTTGGACTACTCGGGTAGTGTGTGTGGACCAAGAGGCAAACGCTGTCCTGATTTGCACCCTCAGTGGCGAACGCTGAAGATGCACTGAGTATAGTACTGAAGTCTTGTTGTTTTCGTAGGTGTGTTCAGCTGAGGAGCCGTTTGGTATCGACACCCATGGTCATTTGGGCATAGACACTTGGGAAAATTGAATTACTGTTCCCAAATTTGTTGGTAACTGCAGCCAGCGGTGCGTGTTATCTTTTTGACCGTTGCCCGAGGCTGACCTCTTCCAAGGTGATCATCTCGAATCCAGGCCCATGACCCATCTGACGTGGCTGGGCGCCTGTTCCTAATTCTATCACGCGCTATTCATAGTGGCCAGTCGAACTGGTCGCTTTGTTAACTTTCATAATCGAGCAACAGAGCATTTTCGTGAGAGGCTGCAACGACCGCTGGCTAGGTCCTGCTTTGAATCGTAATATCGGGTACCAGCATCATTTATAGCATTCTTTTATTTATTACCAACACCGAGCACAATTTTGTCGGGGCTATAATTCTGTGTATCGACGCCAGATACAACGTGACCTTTGTCGCACATGTATTTCAAGAAATCTCAGAACAATACAGGAAAGTGCCGGTGATGTCATTGTCATGTTCGTCTGCTTACATTTAAGTTCACAACTCATGCCGTAGCCTACGTGTCCATCCACTCCCCCACCCCCGTCTTTTGTTGTCTGACCAGTAGTGACTTGCGGTCATCGCCTGACCTCGTAATGACCTCTCGGTTGGGCCGCTGACCACTCCTTGTTGAAACCATGGTCCGTGGTGAAACCTTCCCGCCCATCTGCCCTTCAGCAGTAATTCCGGCCTCGTCGCGGAACTTCGCCGTCAATTTCATTCCTCTGTCTAAACGAGACCGGGAGGGGTATTTGCGTCCGCGTGTACTTAGAAATCTCTTTTGCAGTTGTTTCAATAAATGTTTGATGGTCACTTCAAACCAAGACGGCAACCAAAACACATTGACCCATCTTGAAAACAGTTTAAATTCAGTTTAGCTCGTGGGTTTCTTTGAATGGAATCGATTAGCTCACACTTTCGGAGTGCACTCTGGTCACCAGTTTAAAACTGTTTGCAGTGCATTCAAAAGAGAGTGCCATAATTATGTTGTGACGGGTTTCTCCTATTTTAAGTTCGAACGGGGTGTCGAGTTGCTCTACGATTGCAGGTGCTTGGACTTTAGGACTTCAATAAGAGCGGTTTCAGTTTGAATGATTGCTTGAATGGGATATCGCCACAGTTAACATAACATGCCGTACAAACGAGGAAACGTTGAATGGCGACAAACTGCTTTTGATGCAAAACGAAATATTTGTAGTAAGGTT